ATGCTCTGTTTTCTGTTCTAAACTCAGACATGGCTTCCCAGTAAGGATTATATTCTCTCAAGATGTTAAATTCTTTTGGGATCCATTGAGGCAAACATAGAAAACTTCTGGATTGGTGTATATCTTTGTATGCATTTTTTAAAAGCCTTTTTGCATGACAGCCAAATATGATAACATGTTCATCTATGTTTTCATATCCAGCAAAGATTTGAAATTCCACATAATATTCCATCCCTAAGAAAAATGAAGGCAGCCTTTACATTAGAGTAATTAAAACAAAGACTTGCAAAATTTCAGCATTTCTAAAAAGGGATTCAAAATGAAGGTAACAGATGATGAACATGCGCTCAGATACATGTTAGAGATAGAACAGGAAAAGAACAGCACATCTGAGTTCAAGAAAGATGTTGTAATTTTTTTCTCCTTTCATTGGCCCTTTTTAAAAACCACAAATGAACTAAATGCAGACCAAGATCATTTTTATTTTGGTTAATAGTTTTTATTTATTAATTAAGTATCTATAGCCTCTCATCTCAATCAATGACTCTGGGCAGCTGACAATTCCATATTTTGCTACTTTGTGTGGTGTTTTGATCATTTGTGAGTTGCTCAGGGCTGAGTCACCAATATGGGCAGCCATAAAAATTGAACTAATAGTAATAATACCCATAGTAATACCTCCGTGGGAGGTACATTACAGACAGTTTCTCTGGTGACAAACCAGATTCATCATTTTATAAAAAATTCTCAGCTTCATGGTCAATACTGAAGACTCCTGAGATTCAAAATTTTCTTGAGAGACAGTGAACGATTACAGAAATACTGTAAAATAATAATAATAAAAAAATCATGTCTCCAAAATGAGACAATACCTAATGATGCTTGTTTTATTCCTTTCCCACCCCCGCTGGGTGCATAGGCCATGGGGTTTGGTGTGACAACATTGCCCTCCAGTGTCAAAAGTAAAGAGAAGACACATCTTATCAATTCTCTGAGGAGTTTCTTTTGGCAAAGATGCTTCCTCAATATCTGCATGGCAGTTTGGATATTTAGAAAGATCATCCTAATATTTCATTTCCTACCTTATGTCACGGTACTAAAAAAGAATATTCCATTCCAGACTTCTTTTCTTTTCTATAAAGGTTTTATTGAGTTTTATAAGGTTGGGGAAGGGATAGGAACAGGATAGGGATTAAGGTTCGGGGTGGGATTAGGATCGGGATTGGGGTTGGGACAGGATTGGGAACAACATTGGGGTTGCCACCCAGTAACATTTTCAAGTTTTAGCAAACAGACTATTATTCGGGTACATATGTTCAGTTAACACTAATTAATATAATAGCTATAAATAGCTGTAGTGAATATGATAAACGATAATCATAAACAGTATCAGATCATCAATACATATAATTCTTCTTACTAATATATTGTCAAGACTGCTAACATCAGATGTTCTTGCTTGCCATATATGAAGAAGCAAACATGTTTTATTTAACCTGCATATCACTTCTAGAGTTAAAGTCAGACAATGTTCGAATAGCGGGTGGGAAACTATGTACTCAGGGGATAGTTAGCCACAACAATATTTCAGTACAGTATGTCCAAGGTCAGCTGTAACCAGAGGAGTTACGGGAGGGAAAGTTCACACTTCAAATTAATTGGAGAACGTGATTGATGACTGTAAAATGAAGGAGTGAGTT